AATGTTCACGTGATTTCCCTCCAACCTGTTGCACGTGCAGTGTTTAGCTTGTGTGGTTGCTCGATGTTACATGCTCTTGCATAACACACCACATAACCACACAACTCTCAACAAACACTGCCACGTCACCACTTTGCGTTGTCGACAATTCTTGTCTTCTGCTCTGTTTCTTTCTGTTCTTTCTGTTGGAGTGTTCATTCACCCTACATCCTTGTTTGCTTCACAACTCAAGTAAACACACACAACTCTCTCTTGCCAAGACAATCTCCCACACAACACACAGCACACACAGCACACACACACACACACAAGTCTCCAACAACAGCACCACCACCATGAGTGGACAACACCAACTTTCACACCACGAAGCCGAAGGCGTTTGGAAACGAGATCAAGACGCCACCAGCACCCGTTCAATAACTGACGAAGCAGATCCTCTTCAGCAACCCTAGTCTGAGCGTGAGGAAGGTGCGTAGGAACACGTACTACACATCGGTAAGTCGCCTCGGCGTCTAAAGAGGGCGAAAACTGTGTGCAAATGGTGCCGCCGGTATGTGTTGTTTGAGAGTCAGTGTTTTGTGTTGAGTCCTTCCTAATTTGCCTTCTCGTGTGGTTTTGTCTTGTTTGCCAACAACACCAGCTTTGTGGTTTTTCCGTTGGCAAACATTCCTTCCTCCCTGCTGGCATGCCTCTCCTCTCCTCCTTCCCCTACACACGTGAGTTGTGTGCCATGTGTTTGTGTGTGTGTGCATGCTCGCCATGCTTGACGGATGCCATGCCTTCGTGCCATGTAGTGTTGTGAAGTGTTGTCTGTTGTGTATGCTTGCCTGCAAGCATTCATGCCATGCTTAGCATTGCTCTGCGCGCATGTATGCGTGCTGTTCGTTGTTTAGATTGTTTGTGTTCGTGCACACCCTGCCCATGTCGCCTTGGCAGCTCTGTTGGCTGTGTGTGCACTTGTCTAGTGTTTGTTTGAGCATGCTGCCCGAGTTGATTTGGCAGCAGCTTGTTGTGCTTGTTCATTCTCCTTGTGTTCTTCTTTGTTGCGTTTGCCTACAGTAAACACACACACACCTGCCGTGTTACAACACCCACCCTGCGGGAAGCACTGTTTCCATCGTGAGGAGGACTGCTACCACAACCCCAACAGGAGCATGCAATCGGGGTTCAAGCACCAGTCTGGAGGCAGCCGCAATAACTGTTGAACACTCATGGCGGTGGTGCTGTTGTTGGAGACTTGTGTGTGTGTGTGTGTGCTGTGTGTGCTGTGTGTGTGCTGTGTGTTGTGCGGGAGATTGTCTTGGCAAGAGGAAGTTGTGTGTGTTTACTTGAGTTGTGAAGCAAACAAGGATGTACGATGAATGAACACTCCAACAGAAAGAAACAGAGCAGAAGACAAGAATTGTCGACAACGCAAAGTGGTGACGTGGCAGTGTTTGTTGAGAGTTGTGTGGTTATGTGGTGTGTTATGCAAGAGCATGTAACATCGAGCAACCACACAAGCTAAACACTGCACGTGCAACAGGTTGGAGGGAAATCACGTGAACATTCCAGAACACAAGAGAGGTGAATGTAAATTTGTGGTGTCGTGAAGAAGGGAGGTCAATGATGACTCAGCATACAGACATGACTTGTATGTCGACAGCGGTACTCACTGTAGTGGGGCTCCCGGTGTCCTGGTCCTCGAATCGCCAACCTTTCGTCACCCTGTTATCTGCAGAGGCAGAATACATCGCAATGACAGAAGCAGCAAAGCAAGCATTAGGGGTTAGAAACTTGTGAGCCGAGCTCGGTCACGAACATTAGACCATCACCGACTATGTACACGGACTCTCAGCCAGCTGCTGCGCTCGCTCAGCAACACCAGCTCACGCCACGAGCCAAGCATCTTGGAGTCAGGATGCACTATATATGACAGCAAGTGGTGAAAGCAAGTTGGCGTACTTGAAGACGACGGAACAGTCAGCAGATCTCCTGACAAAGGCCCTTCCGAAACGCGAGCATCAGCTCATGTAGTGGGTGGAAGAGAAAGGACAGCAGGAGGAGAAGAGAAGAGGTGAGATACCTCACCCGTAATAACCACAGCGAACACGGCTCAACGACGCACACACGAACATGAACAGCAGTCGAGGCATCGACATTTATGTTGACAAGCAAATCCCGTCGGAGTCATCATTGACCTCCCTTCTTCACGATACCACAAATTCACATTCACTTCTCTTCTGTTCACGCCATTTCTCTCCAACATGTCGCGTTGAGGTTGTGTGGTTGCTCAAATCAGTGTTGCTACATGACTCCTAAACTTGATCTAAAACCAGGGTCACGCCCTTTAAATAGCACACGACAGTCTTGTATGTCTCCTGCTGTTCGTGGCAAGTTACAGGGGGTGTCATGTGTGTGTGTGTGTGTGTGTGTGTGTGTGTGTGTGTGTGTGTGTGTGTGTGTGTGTGTGTGTGTGTGTGTGTGTGTGTGTGTGTGTGTGTGTGTGTGTGTGTGTGTGCTCGTAGATCTGGTAGATTTTGCAGTCGCGGTAGAGGTTCTCCGCGGGGTACTCTGCTGTTGAAGACGTCGCAGCCAAACACTTCCACGGCGTCTTCGCGGCAAAGAGAGCAGTCGTGCGTCAAAGCCAAGCCAATGTTGGAGTGTAGTAAGTAGTGTGGCGGAGGTGGTTTTTGCTCCACCGGTCTCATCAAAGCACCCGCTCCAGCAGCCAGCAAACACACACACACACACACACACACACACACACACACACACACACACACACACACACACACACACACACACACACACCTGTGGCGCATTTGTTGGCGACGTCAGCGGCGTATGCCTTTGCAATGGAGGCGTAGTAGGTGTTGCGGCGGCCCTGGTCAACCTCCCACGCGGCGCGGCGGGTGATCAGACGCGCCGTCTCAACGCCAATGGCCATGTCCGCGAGCATAAACGCAACAGCTTGGTGCTACACACATGGTGCCGTGTGTGTGTATGTGTCAGTGAGGTGCAGGGAAGGTACACGGGCGAGGATTCTTTGGGCAGACGCATAGGGCATCATGCTCGGTGCAACCGTTCCTCCACATCCCCGCGTTTCATCAAGTGAACGCAACACATACTTTTCAAGCAGGTCATGCATGCTGCGTGCATGTGCACGCGAGTACCCGACCGCACCTGTGCGATTGGGCGGCCAAAGGCCTTGCGCTCCTGTGCATATGTTGTCGCCTCGTGGAGGGCGCGCTGGGCAAGGCCAACAGCACCAGCAGCAACCTGAAATGTGACCGCATGCACGGGCGTTGGTCGTGAGATGTGCGGCGGTGAAAAAGAGCGCACGCCCACACAGAGACACATGCACAGACACAGACACAGACACAGACACAGACACATGCACAGACACATGCACAGACACACAGACACAGACACACGCATGGGCCCGTGTGCAGTTGGTTGTGAACAACAAAACCGAGCTTGGGAGACATAAGCAAGGCCAGCAATAACGACTACAGCAACGGAAAACAGAAAAATGAACATGAGATGAGCGGGTTGGTTGCCGTACCGGGGGGCGGGTGCGGTCGAAAGCGCCCATGGCAATCTTGAAGCCGTCGCCCTCCTTGCCAAGCACGTTCGCTGCGGGCACAACGACGTCCTCAAAGGTGACGCCGCGCGTATCGCTGCAGCGCTGGCCCATGTTCATCTCCTGTCGGTGGTACGGTGTGGTGGGGTGAAGAGGGAGGAGCACGGTGGTGAGTCGGGAGGAGGGCAGGAGGCGGGGGGTGGAGGAAGTACAGTGGAGTGGTGCATGAGGGCGGTGGCGTCATCAGCAGCACCAGGACACCGAGAGGTGCGAATTGGTTGAAGCTTAGGAGCAGCACAAAAAACCAGCAAAGCAGCCATATCACGAAAGCGAAGGACAAAAAGGAACAACACACACACACGCACACACAGACAGACACACACACACACACAACAAAAAAAAAAAAACTACCCCCCCCCCACACCCACAACAACCCCACTCCCCCCTCCCAACACCCGACGCCGGACCTTCCTGCCGCGTGTGAGGCCTGCCGAGTCGCCGTCCACGATGAAGCCCGTGAAGGCCTTGCTGGCGGGCGCACTCGGGTCCGTCTTGGCGAGCACGAAGAACCTGGCCATTGCGCGCACAAAACAACAAACAACAAAGAACAGCAGTAGCGACAACACCATTGCAATGGCAGCGGTGTGAGTGTGTGAGTGAGTGATGATGGCAGAATTGCTCTATCGAAGGTACGCTTCCAAGCCATTACAACGCTCGGGTGTGCGCACCAGTTGGCGTGGCCGGCGTTGGTGATCCACATCTTCTGGCCGTTGAGCACATACTGCAAGCAAGTTGATGACAGCGATTGTGGCGATGAGGGTGAGGGATACATCGCATCGAGGTCTTGCCAATCTGAGCGCAAGCTCACGTGAAGACATAATTGGGTACAAGGGCCAAAACACACGCAGACAAGAAGCACGAGCCAAGCACACACACACACACACACACACACACACACACACACACACACACACACACGTACACACACAGGACACAATTACACAGGCGTGTGGTCGGCCACATGTACTGACGTCGTTGCCCTTCTTCTCTGCGACGGTCTTGATGCCGGCGACGTCTGATCCGGCAATGGGCTCCGTCACGCCATACGACTGCACGAGACGACGAGAGAGGGGGGGATCCAATGAGGGTCATTGTGGAAGGGTGCAGCAAGCATCATGCGCAGCATATCAAGCAAGAAGATGCACCTATTCACATAAGTACAAACATGGACACACACACACACGCACACAAAGGCACACAAAGGCATACAAATGCATACAACGGCACACACGCACACACTCACACACACAGACACACAACAAAGAGACAATAAGTACGCACTGCGACGAGGGGCTCCTCGGTCATGCGTCCAAGGTACTTCTTCTTCTGCTCGTCGTTTGCGGCGAGGATGACGGGCATCTCGGCGAGGCTGTTGGCCTCCAGCGCCGTCTGCACCCCGGAGCACGCGAACGCAATCTCCTCCGTGATGATGCACCCGTCCAGCGAGTGCAAGCCAAGCCCACCTGTCATGCAGCAGCAGCAGCAGCAGCAGAGAAAGAGCGGGGCGTGGGACACGATGAGTGTGGGTTGTGATACGGTGGCGCGGAGGATGTGGGTGGGCACAGGACAAGAGGAGGGAACAAAGGTGCGACAGGCAAGCAATGGAAGGAAGGAAGGGAAGGAAGGAAGGGAAGGAAGGAAGGGAAGGAAGGAAGGGAAGGAAGGAAGGGAGGGAAGGAACACAAGGAAGAATGGTTGGATGCATGGAGGAGCGAGGGGGTCGTGGAGGTTTGCTCAACGCACCGTACTCCTCAGGGATGTGGAGGTTCATGAGACCGAGGCCGTGCGCCTTGTGGACCAAGTCCCAGGGGTACTGTACACAAGAACAATCCAAGACGCACCAGTGCATCATGAAAGCGTCAGTCGCAAAGGAAAGGGAGAGGGAGAGGGAGGGGGAAAGGTCATGCGATCTACCACGATGAAGAACCACCAAACGATGGAGAGGAATATTCATTGACACACAAACACCGAAACACGCACGTACATGGAGCGCGCGCGCAGGCACAGAGCACGAGCACAATGTCAAACAAACCAACAAACACAAAACACAAAAAGTTCAACCACCCATCCAAACACACACACACACAGAAACGCACCTCGCCAGTGCGATCAAGCTCGGCAGCGACAGGCATCACGTCTTCACGGGCAAACTTGCGGGCGAGGTCCACAAACTCTTGCTGCTCGGAGGTGAGCTCTGCAACGAAGAAAAAGCAGGCCACACAGTGAACTTGAGGGGTTGCGGTGCAAAAAAGGCATCGAAGCACACAAAGGCAACACAAAGGCGCCACATGAAGGTACAAAAGTAACACAAAGGCGCCACATACAAACAACAACAACAACAACAACAACAAGAACAAGAACAAGAACAAGAACAAGAACAAGAACAAGAACAAGAACAACAACAACAACAACAACAACAACAACAACAACAACAACAGCAACAACAACGACAACAACAACAACAACAACAACAACTTAAACAACAACAACAACAACTTAAACAACAACAACAAACAACAAACAACTTAAACAACAACAAAAAGCACGCACCAAAGCTCATGCCAGAGCGAAGCGTCGTGGCAGAGGAGAGGCGACGAACGCCAGGCGCGGCAGCGCGGAGCAAAGCACGGCTCAGCATGGCGGCGGTGGATCGATGTGGCGACAGGGGATGGACGGAGCGCACAAACACCACACAATGGATGGATGGTCGCAAGAACAAGTGGCAAACCAAAACAACCCTCTCACTGAAACAGGCAGCAGCGCAAAGGAAGGCGCAATCTACGGGAAATATGGCAGATCAGCGTCAGAGACTGAAACAAGTTTGACACGAATAAATTCTTTCGTAGCGAGACATCGCGAATAATCGTGCTTGTTGGAAGCGCGCACAAAAAAAAAAAAAAAAAAGCACCAACAAAGCAGAAGCAGCAACACCATATCCATCCATCGAAAAGCGACCAAAACAACAAGAAGCACAGCAAGCGCCGCAAGCACAAGCAGACCCTGCTCTCCCTGCATCTTTGGCAGATCATACACAAACACACAACACACGCACACAAAGGAACGCGTTGGAGTGGTGTGGATTCTAGGTGTCCCTTTGGCCACGTTCTGGTGTGCGTTCCTCTTCTCAGGCGCTCGGATTGTCTGCTCTCATTTCTTGGTGGGTGTGACACACGATACTTGGGTTTGTTTGTGTTGGTTGTATTGGGTTTGCTTTTGTGTTGGTTGGTTGCTTGTTTGTTTGTCGGCGCGTCGTTCCACAAATAGTGGTGACTCACGACCGATAACTTATCCCCCAACTTCAATTGCGGCAATGCTATGCACGCTGTAGACATGTAGCAAAACATACTGGCTTCGTGGTTTTGTTTGTGTTGCGTCATAACCCGTGTGGTGGTGGTGGTGGTGGTGGTGGTGGTTTGTTGGTTGGTGGCCGTATGACTGTCGTTTATCATCTGACATTGCGCGGGTCGCATTTCACGTCTTGCCTTTTTGCAGAATCATCGACACAGACACAGCCGCCATGGCTTCCAAGAACTTCAACTACTCGTACATCTTCAAGTACATCATTATTGGTACGTGTGATGTGCTGTGTAGCCATGTCCTGCCGTGTCCGAGCGCGTGTGTATGCGTGTTGAACCCAGTAAGGCATATGCTGTTGTGGCCAATACTTCTTGTTGTGTGTGTGCGTGTGCGTGTACGTGTGCGTGTGCGTGTGCGTGTGCGTGTGTGTGTTCTTCTCACCATCACAATTCGTGCATGTGCCTGTTGCGATGCGTTTGCTGCTTGTGTAGGTGATATGGGTGTCGGCAAATCCTGCCTCCTGCACCAATTCATCGAGAAGAAATGTGAGCTGTGTGTGTGTGTGTGTGTGTGTGTGTGTGTGTGTGTGTGTGTGTGTGTGTGTGTGTGTGTGTGTGTCCGTGTGTGTGTCCGTGTGTGTATCTGTGTGTCTGTCTGTCCGTGCGTCTGTCTGTCTGTCTGTCTCCCTCTCTCCCTCCCCGCGTGCGTGCATGTGTGTGTGTGCACGTGTTTGCTTGCAAGCGCGCTCACGCTGGAGGCAATACGACACCATCTGTGCTTCCTTGCTTCCTTGCTTGCAGTCCTGACCGATTGTCCGCACACAATTGGCGTTGAGTTTGGCACCCGAATCATCGAGGTACTCCAGATGTGTGCGTATGTATGTGTTTTGCGTGCACGTGTGTCATGTGTGCACGTACGTGCATGTGTGTGCAGCACAGCATGTTGCCGCAGCATTTTCATGTCGCAGACCGCAACTACAGCCTTGCTTCCCCGGTTCACCGTTTCACCCTCTACACCCCGCCCCCTCTCGCCATCACGTTCCAAACCCTCGCCTTCTTCTGCTTCCCTGTATCTGTAGGTGTGCGGCCAGAAGATCAAGCTTCAGATCTGGGACACGGCAGGGCAGGAACGGTTCCGTGCGGTGACACGCTCGTACTACCGCGGGGCCGCCGGTGTCCTGCTCGTGTACGACGTTGCTCGACGAAGCACCTTCAACCACCTCCAGACATGGCTCAACGACGCCCGCGCCCTCACAAACCCCTCCACCGTGCGTTGATGTGTGGTGATGTGAGACATGGTTGTGGTTGTGGCTGTGGGATTGTTGCGACATTGGTTGGTTGTTCCTGTGGTATTGTGTTGGTTGGCTGCTGAGTCGTGTCGCTTGGCTGCTTTGTTGGTTTGTTGGTTTGTGGTGGCCGCGTGCTCCTTGCCTCGGCACCTCATCTGACGTTTGTTCCACAATGGCATTCATGTAACAGGTCATCTTCCTGATTGGCAACAAGGTTGACCTGGAGGAGCAGGTATGCACCACCACCACCACCACCACCACCACTGCAGCAGCGTTGACAGTTGCCTTTGTTGGTTTGTTGCTCCTCGTGGCCTGCATGTGCCCATTCACTTACGAGTGCTTCCCACCGCTCTTGCTCATTCATCACCATCACCATCACCATCACCATCACCATCACCATCGCCAACAATCACGCGCCACCGCTCACCCATCATTTGTGTGCGTGTGTGCGTGTGTGTGTGCGTGTGTGCGAGCAGCGGGATGTGCAGACGGATGAGGCAAAACAGTTTGCAGAGCAGAACGGCCTCGTCTTCCTCGAGACCAGCGCAAAGACGTCAGTCACGCACCCCTGAAATTATGGTGTTCATAAGAGGTGGCGCTTGTGGCACGCTTATTTCAGGCACGCACACACACATGCACACACACTTGTGCACAATTGCGCCAAGACACCGTTTTGACTATGTGTGCTGACGCATACCACACCACACCACCGCCACCACCACTGCTGCTGCTTGTTTTGGTTTTGCGTGTAGCGGAGAGAATGTCGAGGAGGCATTTTTGGAGACTGCGAAACAGATTTTCCAGAACATCCAAGATGGAAGCCTGGACCTCAACACGGCCGAGTCTGGCGTTCAGCAAAAGGCGCCTGTCGGAGCAGGTGACTGTGCTTGTGTTGCACTGTGTCTATTGTGTGTGTGTCTGAGTGTGTTTGAACTTGCTCTTTATGTGTGTGTGTGCGTGACTCTGTGTGTGTGTGTGTCTCTCTCTCTCTCTCTCTCTCTCTCTCTCTCTTTCTCTCTCTTTCTCTCTCTTTCTCTCTCTTTCTCTCTCTGTGACCATGCATGTGTCTCACGCCTTCACTTGTGTGCGAAACATCTTTGTTCGCGCTTGATGCACACGTCAAACCGCCATACATCTCCTCCCTTTTCACATTTCACCTCCGCCCACCCCTTTCTCACACACACCCCCTCACCCTCACGCTCCCCCCCCTTGCCTTCACTGCCTGCTTGCGTCTCGGTACGTAGATATGCTGTCCAAGCCGCCCAGCAAGGGCGGGTGCTGCTAATGGCCCTCCACACCGATTGTCTACTCCTCGCACATCATCACCACCGCTGCCGTCGTCGTCGCCGTCGTTGGCATGATGGGTATCATCCATCACCACTCTTCTTGACCTGCTTCTTGTCGTCATTGTTGTTGTTCTCTCGCTCGTGAGACGCATGCCAGATGTCTACTGTGTCAGGCACGGTGGATTCTTGTGTGCACACCTGTCCCTCCTCTGTCAGTCCGTCCATTCTTTCCTTATCTGCATGTCTTGCGTGTGCGTGTGCGTGTGTGTGTGTGCGTGTGTGTTTGTATGTGTGTGTGTGTGTGCGTGTGTGTGTGTGTGTGTGGCGTTGTTTGCTGGCAACACACTCGTGCTCTTTCTGTCCCCCTACGTTCCTACCCCCCACTGCTTTACCTGCTTGCCTGCTTGACTGAATGAACAAGACACACATCAGGAAAGGCTGACATGTGAGAGCACCACCACCACCACCAACAACTCCACCTGTTAGAGAGTTGGGAGAACTCACTAAGATTTATGGTGTTCTGGGAGAAGCCCAGCAGGAACAAAGGAATTGTCTCATCACGAGACTTACGAGCCTACACGTCAAGTGACCAGAATGGTTTGGTTCACTCATGGTCATACACGTCGGAGACCAAGTGAATGTGTGATTTACCCTGCCATGAGCGAACTGATACTGTGTTGCGTATTCATTCTTCCAACCAGTGTATTCCCTACCACAACTCGTACGGCAATAGCTTTCTGCCCCAACCAATACAAACCATCGACTACAGCGATCACGATCATTGTCACACACACCTACAACGTGAGGAGGGACACACTGCATATTTCACGTTGACACCACCATCATTGCAAAGGCGTTTTTGCCTTTCGCTCCAATGGCATTTTTGAAACACAGCAAACAAGACAACAATGATGATGATGATGAGGAGGCGGGCGGTGACTGTAGCGCCTGCGATGCGAGCTGTGACGACTATGTTTGTGTTTGGAATTACAGCGCTGGCAATGCTGGCGGCGCTGGCAATGCTGGCGGCACCGGCCGTGACTGCAGCTGGCAGTGGCGGGCGGATCAAGGTGAACTTCAGCTCACCGACAACGTACGCTGTTGTGGTGGACGGGAAGACGTGGTTCAGCAGCGCCGATACGTTCGTGCGCGCAGACGGCAAGGTGTACACCACCAAGGACGGATCGCTGAAGCTGGCGCAGGGCACCACCACGTCCACCGGCACGGACACGCTGGGATCGTTTACCCGCTACGCGCAGCAGTTCACCGCCAACGGAAAGGTGTTTGAGACAAGCACGCGCATCTACGCGGCAAGCAACACCATTGTCTTTGCGCAAACCTTCGTGGACGCCTTCAACAACACCGCCGAGCCCGGTGAGAAGGACCATGTCCTTGCCTCTTTTCCTTCCTTTGACGTCTCCTCTCCACCCGACGTTGGCCAGGACATCGGCATCCTCTCCTTCAAGGTTGGAATTCGTTTGTGCTGGTTTGGTAGTTTGGTTCGTTTGGATTGGCGTGCATGGTTGCTGGTGTGTTTGTGTGGTGTTGTTCGGTTCGTTGCTTGTGAGCGCACTCGTGCTGGTAGAGTTGCTGTTGCTAACGCTGTCTGTTTCTTCTCCATATCCCCCTCCCCAATCGCTCACTTTATCTCCCCACCAACTCTGACGACACAACATTCATACACACACGATGATTGAATTGCGGCTGACAGGGCCGGCAGGGCGGGTACGCCACGACGACGTTCTCGTTTGCCAACCTGTCGATGATCGGCCAGGGGTCCAACGACACGGGCCCCGCCGTGTTCTTCACGCGTGATCTGAGCACCACGCTGGTCATCTCCGCCTTTAGCAACTTCATGACCGCGTCCACGTGGCTGGACGGCTCCGTGCTGCGGTATGGGCTCATGAGCAGCGTGGAGGCCGTGCCGGCCGGGTACGCTGTCGAGACAGTCGTGCAGCTGTCATCTGGGGTGAACGCGGCCATGGAGGAGTGGGGCGATGCGCTGCTGACGTATTACGGCAAGGAGCGGTCAGCCCATCGCCGCGATTACGTCCTGCAGAAGCTCGGATACTCCACAGACAACGGCGCATGTACGCCATCGTGTGCTTGCGTGCGTGTGCACGTGTTGTGTGTGCGTATGTGTGTGTGTGTGTGTGTTGTGAGTGTGTGCGTGTTGTGAGTGTGTATGTGTGTGTTGTGTGTGTGTGTGTGTTGTGTGCGTACTTGTGGATGCATGCTTCCACCGCAACACACCCGGCTCTAACCCCATCATCACCCTCCCCTCCCTGCCCCCTCCCACTGCGCCCAGACTACTTTTACAAGACGGAGCCGAACAAGACATACGAGGAAACTATGGTTGACGTGCACGCGTATGCGCAGGAGAAGAACATCCCATACCAATACGTCTTGTTCGACAGCTGGTGGTACTACAAAGGTGAGCACGCTTCCTGTATGTGTATGTGTATGTGTATGTGTATGTCTGTATGTGTGTGTATGTGTGTATGTGTGTATGTGTATGTGTATGTGTATGTGTATATGTATGTGTATGTGTATGTGTGCAAACCATTATCATCTCTCGTACCAAAAACCACCCTCATCTCCCTCACCCCTCACCCCTCCCCTCACCACCACCACCACCACCACCCAGGCCCGGACCAGGGCGTGCAGCGGTGGGACGCGCGCCCCACCATCTTCCCAAACGGCATGGCGGGCGTGCACAACAGCACGGGGTGGCCGCAGCAGCTGCACAACCGCTTCTGGAGCGAATCAACCATCTACGCCAAGCAGAACGGCGGCAGGTGGGCCTTTGCGGTGGACAACAGCACGCGCCACGCCCTGCCGCTGGAGCAGGGGTTCTGGTACGAGCTGCTGCACAACAAGAGCAAGACGGGCATGGTGGTGTACGAGCAGGACTGGCTCAACGACGAGTACGACAACGTGGCGGTGCTGACATCGTCGGCGACATTGGCGCGGCAGTGGCTGCTGCAGATGGGGCGGGCGGCGGAGGAGGTTGGCGTCACCATCCAGTACTGCATGGCGTATGTGCGCCACCTCATGCAGTCGGTCGAGATCAACGCCGTCACAAACGCCCGCGCCAGCCGCGACTACCAGCCAGGTGTGTGTGTGTGTGTGTGTGTGTGTGTGTGTGTGTGTGTGTGTGTGTTATGGTGTGTGTGTGTGTGTGTGTGTTATGGTGTGTGTGTGTGTTATGGTGTGAGTGTGTAAATGTGTATGTGCGCGTGTGTGTGTGTGTTTGTCAATGTGTGAATGTGTGGTTGCGGCTGCTGTTGCTGTTGCTGTTGTGTGTGTGTGTGTGTGAATGTGTTCAACAGGTCTTATCATGCATGTCTTCTCTTCCTCCCCCCCCTTCCTCAACCAACCACCCCCACTCACATACTCGCATTGTTGTGCCTGCAGGCAACGACCAGTGGGATCTTGGGCGGACGGCGATGCTGGCCTACGCGCTAGGCATTGCGCCCTCCAAGGACAACTTCTGGACCACGCAGCACCAGCCGTACAACCCGTATGGCCTCACCGAGCCGTACTCGCGGCTGCAGGCCGTCTCCCTCATCACCAGCACGGGCCCCGTGTGCCCCTCGGACAGGATCGGCTACTCCAACGTGCCCCTGATCATGTCCCTGTGCACGGCAGACGGTACGCTGCTCACCCCAGACCGCCCTGCCACAGATCTCGATGCGTACTTCCCACGCAAGGCGTTTGGCGCCGCCGCTGCCGGCATTGACGGGCACGTCTACTCCACATACACGCGCCTGTCGCCGGACGTGGTGGTGTCGTACGTGACGGCGGCCACGCTCAACCAAGACTACAGCGTGGCGGTGACGGAGCTCGGGTATGCCGCCAACACGACGCTGGTCGCCTTTGAGCAGAACACCACCACCACGGCGGTGCTGGTCACGGGGGCGTCTCCGCTGCACACCAAGGCGTGCGGCAAATCGGACTTCCAGTTCTACACGCTGTCGCCGCTGCTGCCCAATGGGGTGGCGCTGCTCGGCGAACCGAGCAAGTGGATCTCCGTGTCCCGCGCCCGTTTCTCGCGTGTGTCGCACGACAGCGCCTCTGTCAGCGTGGAGGCGAGCGGGACGGCCGGCGAGGTGGTGGTGACCAACTTCTACACCGCCAAGACGGCGCGGGTGTTCCCCGTCAAGTGCACGCTGCCTGCGAGCGGCCGCACCCTCGTACGCGCATTGGCGGACGGCACTGGCACATGCACTGACGGCGTGTAGGGGGGCGTGCGTGTGCATGCCGCGTATGCTAATGCATGTGTGGTTTTGTTCTTGTTGTGTGTGTGTGTGTTGTGGTTTTGTTGTGTTAGTGGTGTTGAGGTGTGTTGAGGTGTGTTGTGTTGTGTTGTGCGCGTTGTGTGCATGTGGTATGAGATATCCCGTGGTGTGATGTGTTGTGTGGTGTGTTTTGGTGTGATGTGCGTTTTATGTGGTGGTGGAGCGTTGAATCGCACACTGCGTTGATGGTTGGTGTTGTGCAATGTTGTGCGCCAGTGGCTTGCGCGATTGTCATTTTGCTTCGTTACCACCTGACTTGTCACTATTGGCACGTACTCGTGTTACATCTTGTGAGTCAGTGAGTGCAGTGCACCGAAGTGCTTGCTGCTTCCTGTCAGTAATTGTCGGTGGCATGCTGTTGTCACATCACATCACATCATCATCTCTCCATGCTTGAGTACACTCATTTTTCGTGCCTGGCTGAGAGGTAGAGCAAACAAAGGAAGAAGAGGAAGGAGAGCGCACAAAAAAATATCAAAAGCGTTCACAGACAGACAGACACAGACAGACAGACAGACACACACACACACACACACACACACAGACACACACACACACACACATCGCACACACAACACACACAACACACACACACACACACACACACACACACACACACACACACACACACAAAACACACACAAAACACGCAGCTGAAATGTGTCGCATGTCATTGGCCAATTCTCCACAACTACAAGTCCTGCCAAGGACCTGCTGGTGATGATGATGATGCGGCCGGGGGCTGCTCGCCACCTCGGCTACCGTCATCGCAGGCGGCTGCTGATGGAGGACGCAGAAGCAGAGGAGCGGAGGCGGGCCTGCATGGACATGCTGGTTGAGGCAGCAGTGGTGATTGGTTTGATCGTGTTTGCGGTGGTTGTGGTGCCGTGGTTTGCGTCGCTGCTGGAGGCTATGTGGTGGGGGTTGCGCGACGTTGTCGCACCCGCGCCTCTGCCCGTCGACGGCCACCAGTTGCAGGCGCAGAAGAACCACGGCATCCCCAAGTTTGTGTTCATCAAAACGCACAAGACAGGGTCCTCCAGCATCACGGTGATGCTTGGCCACGCGCTGGAGAAGCGGGGGCTCAAGCCGGCCGTGCCTTGCCATGCGCATCTTGGGTTTCCGGGCCACTTCAGGAAGCCCCGGCACAACTTGTGCGGGGTGGATCCGCTGCGCTTCACCGCCGCCATCTCGCACATCCGCTGGTCCGAGCAGTCGCGCAAGACGCTGTTAGGGCTCATGGGGCCCGAACGCCCGCTCGTCTTCACGATCGTGCGCGACCCCATCACACGGTTCATCTCCGCGCTGCAGTACTACGGCGCCACAAAATTCCAGACGCTGCTTAACTTCCACCCGGACCGCATCACCAACGAGTGGATCAAGTTTGCCGCATATCGCCTCACCAGCAAGCATGTGCGTGCCCAGGTCCAGAAGCTGACGCGGCAGCTGCATCTCATTGGATACGCGTTCGACTTTGGCCTGGCCAAGGAGTACACGCCAAAGGAGCCGCCAAAGTTCCGTTGGCGCGCACAGGCGCTCGTGGACTCGCTGGACTTTGTGCTGCTGTATGAGGAGTGGGACCTGTCCATGGCCGTCCTGAAGCAGCGCCTTAACCTCACGCGCCCAGACATTGCGTACCCGCACCTCAAGGCGTCCTCGTCATCGCGGCAGCAGCTTGTCATTGCGCCGGAGACTCGACAGGTGTTGTGCGAGGTGCTGTGGTCGGACTGCATGCTGTATGACATGATGCGGGCGCGCTTCCAACAGCAGGTGGACGACGCCGTGAGGCAAGACGGCGCTGCCATTGCCGAGTTCAACCAGCAGGCGCACGTGCAAGCGCGGGTGCAGCAGGGTGACGGCGCTCGTGGTGTTGGCCACAACGGCAGCGAGGATGAGGACGTGCAGGACTTTTTCGATCGCCTTCGCTATGGATGGGTGGTGAAGCGATGGGGGTGACACGGTCGTGTGTGTGTGTGTGTGTGTGTGTGTGTGTGTGTGTGTGTGTGTGTGTGTGTGTGTGTGTGTGTGTGTGTGTGTGTGTGTGTGTGTGTGTGTGTGTGTGTGTGTGTGTGTGTGTGTGTGTGTGTGTGTGGTACGGTAGCGGTACTTGCGCATCGTGTACTTCGGGTGTGAGTTGATGGTTGGGGAGTACGTAGGAACAGGTACATTAAAGGAACCCGTACGACGATACACAAATAAAAGAAGAAACCACGGAGGAAAGTAACAAATAAGACGGCACATAGACACACAGACACAGACACATAGACACAGACACAGACACACAGACACACAGACACACACACACACACAGACAGACACACAGTAGAGCATGGAGCTGCCACGTTCACGCCGTTGATGCTGACGAGTCCTGCTTGTCCTGCTTTTCCTGCTGCTGCTGCTGCTGCTGCTGCTGTTGTTGTTGTTGTTGTTGTTGTTGTTGTTGTTGTTGTGCGTACTGCTGCTTGTGGCGTTCCATCTCCCTGCGCATCTCCTCCACGTCCACGTCGTCACCAAACTGCGACCGCAGGACCGTCTCCACCTGCGCCCGCTCCATCGCATCCCGCGCCCGCCGCGCCCGTCGCTCGTCCTCCGCCCTCTTCTTGCTCCTGTCACCGCTGCTGATGCCTGGCCCGGCACCATCCACACCACGCCCCTCCCGTCCATGATCACCATCGCCAGCGTCCCCTGTATCCTCCTCACGACCAGCACCGCCTGTGTGCTGCTGCTGCTGTTGCTGCTGCTGGTGGCTGTGTTCCTCGTCGTCCCTGCGCTGTGCGGCCTCCCTCGCCACCGCCAGGAACACGTCTGCCGTGATGCGCAGCGCATCGCACCGCCGCCGGCGCTGCTGCCGGTCCACCGCATCCACCCCGTGCGTCCCGCCCACCAGCGCCGCGTGGCACGCCGCCTCCAGGGTGGTCTGGATGTCCACCATGTTGCCGGCCCACATTGCATCGAGCACCATGGGCAGGGCCTCCTGCTCCAGCATCGCCTCCAGCCGCGCCCGCTGCTCTGCCTCTCGTTGCGCCGTCTCCTCCGCCGCCCGCCGCGCATCCGCCGCCGCCTCAGCACGCGCGTCCCGCTCCGTGGACCCTGGTGCCGTGCTCTCATCTTCATCGGCATCTTCATCAGCAGCAGCATCACCATGTGTGCCTTCGCCGTCACTGGCATTGCCGCCGCTCGTGTCCTTGTTCGTGTCCACGTGACCATCTTCTTCTTGTTCTTCGTCCTGTTGTTCTCCACCACCGCTCTTGCCAGCAGTCCCCTTGCTGCCCTCCTCTGCACCCTCCTTCTCCTTCTCTTCCTTTTTCTCCTTCTTCTGCACGACGGTGAACCCGTCCTCCTCCTCCACCATGGTGCTGTCCACCCCCTCCGCCTCCATCTCCCGCTCCACCGCCGCCTCCCGCCGCCGCTCTTCCTCCTCACGCTCCAGCCGCTGCGCCAGCGAGTGCGCCGTCATCAGCATGCTCCCGGCAGACTTGACCGCGTGCCACTTCACCCCGAGCGCGTGCCGCCCGCGCTGCACACGTGCGCGGAACCCGACGAGCCCGCCGCGGCCCACGTCGGCCGCCAGCCGGTATTCGCGTCCAATGGCGCCGAGCAGCTCAATGCCAAACGACGCACGGGCCAGCCGCTCCGCCTCCTCACGCACGCGCGCAGCAAACTCCGCCTCGCTCAGCGCCGCCGCGGGGTAAGGGCCGGCATCGCTCCCATTGGCCCCAGTCGCCTGCGTTCCCTGCTGTTGTTGTTGCTGTTGTTGCTGCTGCTGTTGCTGCTGTTGCTGCTGCTGTTGTGTGCGTGAGCCATCGCCGTCGCCACTGCCCACGTGTCTGCGACTCCCCCACGATGTGAGCCGTGATGCAAACGCTGACAGCGTCGACCGGCGATGAGGTGAACCAGACTGCTGCTGCTGCTGCTGTTGTTGTTGCTGCTGCTGCTGCTGTTGTTGCTGTGGGTGAGCGGGTGCGAGGGTGTCGAGGCGGAGGGCAAGGGACTGGGCGAGCTGCGCCACGCGATACAGCTGGGCGCGGTACATGGTGCGCTGGGAGGCGGCGTCGCCAAGGCGCGCGGCCGTGGCCATGGCCAGCTCTCCAACGTACGGTGTGAAGAGGTCGCTTCCAAACAGCATGGTGAAGAACAGGCCCGCGTCCACGGTGTCGTCCTCAGACACGTTCTCCTCGCCGCCCTGGTCGTACTTGGCACGGAGGTCCGGGTTGGACAGCACCTGGTATGCGCGGCCCAGCCGCTGGAACTTGGCCGCCGCGTCCTCGTCGCCGGGGTTCTTGTCCGGGTGCCACTTGCGCGCGAGCTTGTAGTAGTTCTTGCGGATCTCCTCATCCGATGCGTCGTGGGAGACGCCGAGCATGGCGTAGAAGTCGCCGTCCATGTTGCCGTCGCCGTCGCCATCACCATCGTCGTCGCCGTCGCCGCCGCGCCCGGGCCTTGCCTTGTGCTTGCGCTTGCGGGCGAACTCGGGCTCGTCGAGGACGACGGCGCGGTCAATGCGGAAGTCCACCCACTCGCGCTTGAAGGGGTCAAACTGCTGGCCGCGCGCCCTGGCCACAATGGCCTCGGGCGTGTTCCACACGCCACGGACAATCTGCGTGGCGCCGACAAGCGTGCCCGTGACAGGCAGCACGACGGCGCCGAGAACGCCGGCGCCGAGGCCTCGCGCGAACCCGGAGGCGCCGCCCTCGTACGCGCCCGCAACGGGAGCGGCCACAAGCGACACAATGCCGAGCCCAACGCCTTTGCCAATGGACTTTAGCCCGGAGGACAGCCCAGCACCCACGTCGCGTGGCCGGCGCGTGGAGAACAGCTGAAACCCTTCGCCCTCCTCCTCCTCTCCCCCCTCGTACGTGTATCCGTCGTCGTCGTCGTTGTCATCCGCATGATAAGGCGTGGCGTGCTCGCGTGCTCGAGCCGAAGAAGACATGGTGGTGGTTGGTTCTTTGGTTGGTGGTCGTGGGTGTGTTGTTGGTGTCGATGGTTTGTTGTTGAACAAGAAATGAGTCATCAATATGGCGCGGTTTGCTTTGCTTTGCGTTGCTTCTTGATTTCTTGTTCTCTTCTTGTTCTCTGAGCTTGTCTGCTTGTCGTGTGCACTCTTGTACTCTTTTGTCTCTTTGGATTGAACGTGGGGGAGGGGGAAGACAGGTGATGTGACAATATGTAGGGGAAGGGGTGCCGAGCGAGATGCAGAGAGGCACCAGGCTGGCAAGCACTCAAGCAGAAGGAGAAGGGGTCTCTTCACTGTCTTCAAGTCAACGTGCATGCACGCAAGAGTGGAGCAAGAACGCGAGGAGTGAAACAACCAGTGGGTAAGTGAAGAAGTGAGCGTGGGAACAAAGGGGGAAACGGGAGAGGAGGCACACAGGCGTACAGACACACTAAAGCAAACAGGCATACAGCGTAGACGCAAAGCACAAGATGGCAAGTGGAGAAAAGCGAGAAAGGTGAAGGGTGAAGCCAACACAGCATCACGCAAAGAAGCAAATAGCTGTGACTGTCATTGACTCCCATAATTTCTTGTCTCTTCTCTTGATCCCTTGATAGCTTGCTCCATCATGGCTTTGTTGCGCAGTCCGCCTCAGTCGGCCTTGGTCGGTCTCAATGGCAGCAGGAGCAGCCTTCTCCGCTCTTTGCGGCGTCACCAGGCTTTGCGGCGTCCTTGCCCTTGCAGCAGCCGCAGTTGTCACCGCAGATGCACTCGCCGCCTTCCTTGCACTTGCATCCTGGCACGCACTCGCAGCTCGCGCACTCGCACTTGTCGCCGCAGGTGCACTTGCCGTCCTTCATGCAGCCACAGCCGGGTCCACACTTGCAGTCCATGGTGATTCGTTTGGTTGTTGGTTGTTGGCTCGTTGGAAGAAGCAGACACCTAGACACGGGAGCTGTTGAGGGAGACGATGATGTTGGAGAGAAAATGGGCACGTCACAAACAACAACAACGACACAACAAGCAGCAACAAAAGAACAAACGCAGGCGAGCAGAAAGGAGGCAGAAACACGACAGAAACCAAAACAACTTGAGCGCTCACCGTGTTGCCGCTGATGATGGTTGTTGTTTGGTTGTCAGTGGGGGGCGATGGGAAAACGCATCTCAGGCTTGCTCGTGTTGCTTGCATGCATCGATGATCGTTAGCAAGAATTTCTTTCGCTCCTTCTATTCGTGCATGGAATTATCAAGGATGTGGGAATGGAAGAATAACAAAAGGGGGTTGAAGAAGCAAAGATAGGCAGCATGCGCGCACGTGGCTATGGGAGGAGGTCTGCTTCGCTGTCTGAACTGGTGTTGGCCATGAGCCCTTCCTCGTCCGGCTGGTGTACAGTGTACTCCTGCATCTCCGGCGATGCAAGCCGGTGCGACAGCGCCTGGTAGTCGCGGTGGTCGTTGTCAGTCGTGAGAGTGCGTGTAATATGGTGTGTGTGTGTGTGTGTGAGAAGGACGAAGAAGGTCAGTTGAGTGATTCAGTGTGAAGAACAACATGGGAGTCAGATATCGCCAAGACACACAAATCAGCACATGCACACAAATACAAACACACAGACACACGCACAAACCTGTTTGATGGACTGAAACGAGGTAGAGCGAAGGGAAGCAACGCTGGTTGCATACACAGCGGCATTGAAAAGCCCTGGCGGTGGCGGCAGCAGCGGCGGCAGTGGTGAGAGTAATGATGAGACGGCAAAGTGGAAAGCAAAGAGAAAAGCGAAGTCACACGGACAGACAGATGGACGGGCAGATGGACACATATCTGCACACACGCAACACACAGACAGACAGACACACACACACACACACACACACACACACACAGACACACACACACACGCAACACACACATACACACGCAACACACACAGACACGCAACACACACAGACACGCAACACACACAGACACGCAACACACACACACAGACACACAGACAACTACCTACCCTGGAGCGGGGAGGAGAGGGAGTGGAGGAGGTAGAGGGCGTAGACGGGGTGGGACGGGTGGACGGCGTTTTGTATTCTGTTGATGACAGAGAACACAGACACAACAACATACACCACAGGGTACCACCTGCACATGCACGCGCGCGTGCGTGCATTGAGTGAGTGAGTGAGTGTGTGAGTGAGTGTGAGTGAGTGTGAGTGAGTGAGTGAGTGAGTGAGTGTGTGTGTGTGTGAGTGAGTGTGTGTGTGTGTGAGTGAATGAGGAGTTGTTGGCAAGGGATGGTGAGGGGTGACAATCATCGCATTTGATACAACAACAACACAAGCACACACGCAGACTGTTACACAAATAAAGACAGACAGACAGACAGACAGACACACACACACACAGACAAACACACAGACAGACAGACAGACAGACAGACAGACAGACAGACAGACAGACACACACACACACACACAAAGAGCACAGCACAGCGGCTGACTTGAGTGTGGCGATGTTGTCCCTGTACGAGTCGTCCTCCTCCTGTATGGCCTCCCCGCGGAGCGAAAACTGCCGGGAGCGAAGGCGGCGGTACATGAGCACATAGCTCACACCTGGTAACGATTGGTGTTGTGGAGGGGGGGGGGGTATAGCGAGAGGACACGAGTGGGTGGGGAGGGGAGAGATGGCGACAAGACCTTCAGCGCGCGAAAACACACACACACACACACACACACACACACACACACACACACACACACACACACACACACACACACACACACACACACGCACACGCACGCAGACAGACAGACAGATCAGCCGCAGCAGGAGGTCTCGTGGGACGTACCGATGACGGCGAGGAGGAGGAGCATGGGTACATACCACAGCGCAAAGCGCAGGGCCGTCTGTGATTGCTCAATCCAGCACCACGCACCGGCAGGCGCATATCCCCGCGTGCACAGCGGCACAATCGCCGGCACCAGCGCCAGGCCCCACACGACAGCGTGATACCGCCTTTTTTTTTTGGGGGGGGGAGGGGCGGAGAGCAGATTGGAATGGTGGATGGAACGGTCGTGGTGGGTGGGTGGTGTTTTCAGCAGCGTCGTGAACAGGAGTTGACAAGTGGAACATCCAACCAACCACACACAGCCAGAGCCAGAGCCAGAGCCACAGCCACAGACAGCCAGACAGACAGCCAGGCAGACAGACAGACAGGCAGACAGATACACACACACACACACACACACACCACACACACACACACACACACACACACACACACACACACACCACCACCACCACCACCACCACACCACCAC